CTGGTACTGATGTGCTATTGGTGTGGTACTGGGGTGTTACTGGCATGTTATTGGTGTGGTACTGGCCTGTTACCGGGGGCGTTACCGGCACGTTACTGGGGAGTTATTGATGTGTTACTGGGGTGTTATTGGTGTGGTACAGGCCTCTTACCGGGGGCGTTACCGGCACGTTACTGGGGTGTTATTGGTGTGGTACTGAGGTGTTATTGGTGTGGTACAGGCCTCTTACCGGGGGCGTTACCGGCATGTTACTGGGGTGTTACATCGCTGTGTTACTGGTGGGTTATTGCCGTGTTACTGGGATGTTACTGGTGGGTTATTGCCGTGTTACTGGGATGTTACTGGTGGGTTATTGCCTTGTTACTGGTGGGTTATTGCTGCGTTACTGGGATGTTACTGGTGGGTTAATGCCGTGTTATTGGGATATTATTAATGCTACTGATATGTTATTTGTGTACTAGTGGCCTGTTACCGGGGGTGTTACCGCCATCTTACTGGGGTGTTATATCTCTCTGTTACCGGGGTATTACTGGCTCTTACATCTCTGTGTTACTGGGGTGTTACTGCCGTGTTACCAGCCTGTTACCGGGGCTGTTACCAGCACGTTGTTGGGATGTTATTGGTGTGTTACTGGCCTGCTACTGGGGTATTATTAGTGTGTTACTTGCTTGTTACTGCAGTGTTACCCGTGTATTACTGGCGTGTTATTGAGGTGTTACTGGTGTGTCTATCTGGGGGTGGACGGCGTTGCAGATGTAGCACTGCATGGGTTAATTAGTTAATTAATTAATTAACCAATCACAGGTGTGCTGGCAGGGGGTGCAGGGAGGCTGGAGGGAGTCGGGCCCTGCTCCCATGGAACAGCCACAGCATGACAGGATGTGGCTGTGCCAGGCAGGGTCAGGTGGGATATTGGGGACATTCTGGCCTGGACAGGGCTGCCCGGCCTGGCACAGCTGCCCAGGGCAGTGGTAGAGTGCCTGTCCCTGGAGGGATTTCAAAGCCGTGTAGATGTGGCACTTGGGGACAGGGGTTGGGGTGGCCTTGGCAGTGCTGGGGGATGGCTGGACTTGGTGCTCTTGCAGGGCTTTTCCAGCCTCAACAATTCCGTAATTCCATGCTTTGGGCTGCATGTGTTCCCTTTTTAGAGAGCTGCTTACTCAATCACCGTGGTATTGTGTGTCCTTACTCCCCTGCAATGCTGCCTCCAGGAAAGGTGATGGGGCTGGAGGAGCACGGGGATTAAATTCCTTGGTGATTTTTTTTCCCTAGTGATGCACTGAGGGCACCTGAAGTAAATTCTGTGTGCAGATAGGAGGCTGAACTTGGGGTAAGTTGGAGCACAAATGTTGCAATTCTCAGTTTCAAAATGAACAGGAGAGCCGCAGGACTTCACGGTGCAATATTCTGTAATGAAATAATGATTTTTCCAGCTGCCCAGCAGAGGTTAAAGGGAAGCTCGGGCTGCTTTCTGCTGAGCTCACGCTGCTCAAACGATCTCTTTATTGCAGCAGTTTGCAACTCGCTGGGTTGCAACACCTCCCCTTGTTCCCTTGTTCTGTGCTTGAACTGCAGCGTGGTGCCCTTTGCTTTCTGGTAAGAGGATTTCTGCAAGTGCAGGCAGGGACCTCCCACGGCTCACTGGCACTAAGCTGGGCATCTTCTGGGCCAGAAGAGTGGCTGGAAAACAGTAAATCATCCTTACAGGAGTTCCAAACATCATGCTGGGACTGAGCCTGTGTTTCTGATGTTCCTTAAGAGGGTTTTCTGTGCCTTTTTTCTGTGCCCTTGTATTGGGAGGGAATTGTTTCCTGGGAGAGTGAGCAGGCCTGGCACAGGTGCCCAGAGCAGCTGTGGGTGCCCCTGGATCCCTGGCAGTGCCCAAGGCCAGGCTGGACAGGGCTTGGAGCGCTTGGGACAGTGGGAGTTGTTCTTTGCCATGGCAGGGATCTTCCATGGCACCCTTTGAGGTCCCTTCCAACCCAAACCCTTCTGTGTTTCTGTTTCCCCCAGTTCAGTCCCCAGAGGCAGCAGCTTGTGCATCATTCAGGGTCTTTTTGGAAGGTTTGGTCTTGGCTGCTTCCAGCTGTGTAATGTTGTAAGTTTAGATAGGAAAAATCTCTGCAGAGGGGATGATTTGAAGGGATTTCATTCCTGACTGCTGTAACTGCTGAGGAAGGACCTTCTGTGGCAGTGTAACAGATTTGTGTCACTAACAGCAGTAACACACGGCTGGTACGGGCTGCTCAGGGAGGGAAATGCTCCTGGTTAATCTCTTCTGCTTCATGTAACCCCTTGTGCTCAGAGCTGGGGCTGGTGTGCCTGCCAGGCACAGAGCTGCTGTGCCCTGAGCATGATGAGGGCTGGGAATTCGGGGAGTCAGGGCTGTGAACTCGGGGGGATGAGGGTGTGAGCCCAGGGAGGGAGAGCCGGGAACTCAGGGAATTGAGGACTGTGGGTCCCACAGTGCCAGTGAGTGCCACCTCACTGCCGCTGCTGCTGAGGTGTCACCTCAGGTTCCACCAATACCCACTGTTAAAAGAGCAGGATTTGCAGGAATTGTCTAAACACTTCCCAATCCTCAGCTGGGGCTGCATTTGTTCTGCTGAGGGCACTGAGGGGTCTGTGTGGGCTCTGTACCCTGAGTGTCAGTGTCCTTGCAGGGTTTGGGGTGTGTTTTCTGCTACAGCTGCTCTTTCCTTTGGCTCCTGGGTGGCTGCAGGAGCCACAGTGGTTTCCTGGTGCTGGACACTCAGCTGATTGCTCAAGAGGTGTTTGTGATTCCAGCCTGTGCCCTGGTGTTGCTCCATGGGCCTGGGGCAGCCCAAAGCCTCTGTGTCCAGTGGCTCTGCAGGGACAGGAGGCTGCAGTGAACTCCCTGGGCTGAGTTACCTCACAATCTTAAATAAGACAGGAGCATTTCGACCTGAAAATGAGCCAAAGTGGAGATCACTCAGAGCTGAAACATAAAGGAGTAAGCAATTCCTTGGAAGCTTCCTGCAGGAGCCAGCATCTCTGCCTGAAGAGCAGCCAAGGCAGAAACCTGACCCTACAAGTTTATGAGGACAAAAGAAAACTAAACCTTGAATAAATCACATGAAATGCTGCTCACAGCAGAGGGAAGGGCAAATCCCACAGCCAGAGCAGCTGTGGCTGCCCCTGGATCCCTGGAGGTGCCCAAGGCCAGGCTGGATGAGGCCTGGAGCAGCCTGGGACAGTGGAGGTGTCCCTGCCATGGGGGTGATCATGAGGTCCATTCCAGCCCCAGCCATTCCATGGTTCTGTTCCCCTTGGCAGCACTCCCAGGTGGTTGTGTGGAGTCAGTCCTGTGAGTAAATCCATGCCTTTATCCTTTTCCCCCCCAGTGCTGGGCTCAGACTGTGGGAGAAGCTCTGGTTGGTGCTGGCCAAGCCTGGATCTGTGGGCTCAGCCTGCCCCGGTGAGCCCTGCTGGGTTGGATCTCCCTTTAGGGCCTTGTTAATCCAGAAGAGATCCCTGATTCTCACCAGGCAGTGCCAGGGGGATGGGAAATGTGGCTCCAGAAGCTCAGGCAGCCCTGCTGCTCTGTGGCTGTTCCCAGAGAGCTCTCCTGGGCCTTAGGAGAGCTCTGTGATCGTGCACAGAACAGAGCAGGTCATAAGCAGCGCCTAAGTACAAAGTGAAAAATGAGATTTTTGGGTTTTGCAGGGTCCAAAGTCGTCCTAAGTCCTTGCTGAGCAGAAAAGAGGCTTATGGATGTGCAGGATGAGCAGGGCAGCTGTGCCAGCTGGGCTCTGCCATGTGCTCCATGTGTTAGATCTGGCTCTGGCCCTAGATTAATGTGCTGATACTTGAGCTGATA